AACTATAAATGATTTATTTACTGTTTCATAAGAAAATCCATCTTTCCACCCTCATTGTTTACTAGTCTAGGGACAAAAAGAAGAAAAAGTACTTCAATTTTCTATCCATGAATCTATCTATTCACATGCTACCTATCCAGCATATGAAGAGATAGATAAATGGCAAGAACCATTTGTCAATTGCTTAAATTCACATCCTTAGAAACACTAATGCTTTATTCTGCATTTATCCCATTTCTAATTTCTAATGCTGTAGGGCAGCAGTTCAGAATTTGTAGCCACAGGATTCATTTAACAGCAGGGTTGCACTTAATTACATTAGCGAATGTAATTAATTAATTAGCAAATATACTACCTTTTGTAATTAAAGTAAACTTTCGAAGCTATATATAGCAAGCTTCAGAAATGAAAGACAGAAAAAATAAAGAATGGGAATTTTTTATTTATTCTTGTTTTGTTATTCAAGCTTATCATCCCATAAAGCACTTAAAATGTATTTCACATTTTATTTTCTAAAATTAGGCATAAATAACTCCACGTGACATCACTAAAAATTCAAGATGATCGTTTTTCATCAGGAAAAAAAAAAGCTAAAGCTTCTCCTAATTTTATTGCAAGAAACCCAGTATGTATACCGTACATGCCGGCTATGTACGGTATTCCGCAAATCAAACAGGGTTGAGGAATGCAGCTGTCAGGATGCAAATCAGGATGTGCTGCCAAGTACATCTGAAATCTCTCTCTCCCAAAATCAGAGAGGCTGGGCGGAAATTGAAGTCTTCCCACACTTCCCTGACTACAGCTTGTTCAGATCTTGGCCCTTTCAAGCAAGCCACATCACTGAAAAGTATTCCTTTGATCGTAATCCGTAGGAACCTCTAATTAATACTGGGAAGCTCCAAAAAGCTGAAATAGTCCAGGGCATCGAAAGAGAGGATCAACACTTTCACAAAGCCCCTTATTTCTATAGAAGGAGTAAATACAGGTAGCCAGGAATTTGTGCTGAGGTTTTTTTTTTTTCTTCTTTTTCTTCTGTCTTGTGCCAGGTCTCAATTTCTTTATCGCTCTCTGTACAAGTTATGGAATTGGTATTTACTACCAGCCTTCAAGATCAGGCTACTTTCAAGAAAATATAATCTTTTCTTTAGAATCTTTTTGTGACCTGTAATATTTTATATTTTTTCAAATCTCTTCGGAAACTTGGGCTGAGATTTTTTTCATTTATAAGTGACCATCAACATCTTGTGGCTGGAACTCTAGTGCAAATGTCTTTATTACCACAATCTGGGAAGTTTTATAATTGTCTCCTTCCACACCAAATGCCTAGATTTTAATACTTAAAATCAAAAGGAGTACTGTACGTATGTAATGTATGCATGCAAGCATGCATATATGTATGTATATTTTAAACAAACAAAGTTTTGGGTTTGTTTATCCCCTGGAGACTGATTTATATTTAAAAAGAGGGGGAACTGAATCCTTCAGTTACCAAACCTCTATGCCACATGGCCAGAAGAAGTACTATTGTAATTATTTAGATTTGGTGGTGGTGGTTGTTGTTTTGTATTTTATTTTTTAAATGCAGGCAACATAAGGTAAGAGAAGTCTTTCCATGAGATCACAGATGAAATGCCCTTGGAAGATAGAAAGCAGCCATAGGAATTGCCATGCTTCTACCTGAAAACAGAAGTCAGGATCGTGATGTGAAGCTTCTACAAGAGGAGGCTGGGGACTTCCAGATTCTCTCTTGTGGACCTCAGCATTGCTATAGGATGACCAACTAGATACTTGATTACTTCTACACTTGATTGTAAAAAATATGATTTTTGTAATAGAGTTGTCAAGGTCTGGAATGCTCTACCTGATTCAATTGTTTCAGCTACAAATTTTCATAGTTGTAGTCACAAATTGACTTCCATGGACCTCACTTCTTATTTGAGAGGTTTGACAAATTTCAACAAATAAAATAAACAAATACTTCCACAAGGCCAAAAAGAAATGTATGAAGTTCTTAACAGACAGGACATACATATTCATTTGATTCTTTATGTTTAAGATAAATTGTTCTGAATGATGCATTTGTGATAAGCCAAATGCTTCCAATTGTCAGTAACAAGTGAGAATGAGTTTCTAGAGATCACACAATGGCCTAAAGGAGTCACAAATAGATGAATTGCTCTTCTTAGGCAAAGTTTTTTCCCCGATTTCTGAAGCTGCAGATCATTACAGCTGAGAATGGGGATGGCATCTGGCATATTATATGTATTACATGATTAAATAGAAAATATGGATGAATTTTTTATTTTGATGGGGGGAACCTTCATTACGATAGTTGTTCTTAGTAATCTGACAAAATTCACTTGTAACTCACTTCTAAAAATGAAGTTGCATTATGAGATCATGATGTTATCTTCCTTACCCCTACCCCACCCCCCGTTGTACTATAGAATATGTCCTCTCCTGAATTAGAAAAATATACTGCTTGATAATGTCAGAGGCAGCTACCTGCAATGTCACCAAAATATCCTTCAATTTTGCTGTATTGAAGAAACATCTAGACAGGGGTGTCAAACTCAGGTGTCATGGTGGCGTCATGTGACATATCGGAACTTTTTTCCCCCTTCACTAAACCGGTCGGGGGCGGGGCCAGCACAGGACGCATCCTTCCCACCAGCTGCGAGTTTGACACCCCTGATCTAGACTCTCCACAACTTTCAATCCCTGGTTATTTAGAGCCCTGAAAGCTCAATGTTAAACCATGATTTGCTAAAACATTTAAGGAAAAAAAAGATCCAACAAATAAATAGCTTAAAATGTACCACTTTTAAATGTAAAGTACACTTTTATTATATTTTAATTTGAAAGTACTACACACTGGATTTTTATTTTATTTTTTACCATCACATACATTTTTCTATAAAAAAAAAAAACACCTCACACCCTACTGATAGAATTGCTTTTTAATTGTTCAGAGGAAGGGGAAGTAAAATCTTTTGCCCTAATTTGCCCTTTGGCTGACACAATACATCAATATCTTACTCTACTCCCATTCTATACCTTGAAGGAACTTAGATAAATTGCCCTCTTGCAAGACCTTGGGAAGGCAGCCCTGGAGAATACACTTTGTTTGGGCATCCCAGGCCATTCAGGGCCAGCCTCTTTCTGATGCCACAGCTGGTTTTCATGTAAATCACTGGCCTTTTCTCTCCAGATTGCCTTATGGAAGGCAGATAACCATCTCATTTTATTTGGTATCACAAAAAGCCAAAGTTCCCTTTCCCCACAAATGGAGACAAACAAGAGATACCAGCTGTCTGGAAATCAAGAGGATTTTTTTTAAAAAGGAGGTCATTCCCAGAATCCATGTGGCTGGCTGCCAGTTCTCTATCACCTTTTCGGAATGTGGGGAGGATATGCAGCATTTTTTTCCCTTGAACATTTGTCTTTCTCTCCCTGTAAACTCTACCCTGGTAAGCTGGCTTTTCTCAGCCTCTTACTCTCACCTTATGTGGCTTCTTTACCTTTCTTATGTCCATATAAAGTCACCTAGATTATTCTCCAGCCTTGGGGTTTGTCTTGTCCTATAAATCATGCACCCAATTTCTTTCTAACCCTTTGTACAAACATAGCACCAACATAGCATAACAATGTAATATGTTAATAATAATGTAATGCAATTAACTGCAGGCATCTCTATGCTAGAGTGTGCATAATTTATTGATATAATTATATTTGTTCACAAAGATGAAACAAACTCATTTGATGCTCAACCTCATGATTCAAGACATGAGTACACAGTAAAGAGATCTTATCCCAATGTCTGGAGGCTGTGAGGGTCAGGATGGAAACAACAGGCTTCAGCTGAATCCTGGCAAGACTAAGTGGCTCTGGATTTTGGGTCCCATTAGCTCCACGACTGGTTACATTAGCCATCTCATTAGATCTAGATCTAGATCTAGACTAGGAATGCTCTGGGCATTATCAGCTAAGGACCTACGTTAGGTGGGTTCCAGGAGACATGCCTTCTCTGTCATGGCACTCACCATATGGAACATTCTTACCCCCTCCGCCAAATTAGATTACTTCCATCCTTTCTGACATTTATTTATTTGTTTGTTTGTCTGTCAAACATGTACAAGATAACAAGTATAAGTATGAACATAAAGAAGAATTTCAGAACATAAACAACATTCCAGAAGGTCCTCAAGACCTGGTTATGTTATCAGGTCTAGAGGTTCTACGGAACCGGAGTCATGCTTAAATGGCTCCATTATGGAGCTGGGTATTTTTATTCTCTCTTTGCCTACTGTTTGTATCTCTGATTTTATAACATTTATTGTTACAGTGATTTTTAATTTTTTTTAACTTGTGGTTCTTTATATGTGTTGTTTTTTTCATTTATTGTAGACCATCCAGAATCACCTTCAATGAGATGGGCGGCTATGTAAATTTGTTTAATAAATAAGAGGCATTGAAATACTATATACATCAGGGGACCCCAAACTTGGCAACTTTAAGACTGGTAGACTTCAACTCCCAGAATTCCTCAATCAGTTATGCTAAGGAATTCTGTTCCTCCTTTGCTGGCTGAGAATTCTGGGAGTTGAAGCCCACAAGTCTTAAAGTTGCCAAGTTTGGAGACCTCCGATATACATATACAAATGCCCACAATGCATTTTAACTGAGAAATAACTGCAGAAAAATAAATAAATGAAAGGGTGTACAAAAACGCATACATTATAAAGCAATCTATCTAAAAATGTGTTAGGAATTTTAAGGCAAACTTTAAAAAAATAAATCCACAAAGTGGTGTTGAAGTGAGATATACCAAATTTTAAAGGTAGAAAAATAGAAAACCAGAATAAAGTTGAGCATCGGATTCCCTACAAAATTATGAGGTTTGAAATGTCTGTTCATCAGCACTATAGCCTTGAGTGGACCCAAGCAAAGGAACTCTGCTGAAACGGCTAGACAAAAGTCATATGATTGTAAATACTCACAGCTCTTTATAATTGGCGTCATACAGAGTCGACCACTTGTTCTGCTGATGTGGCTGCCATTTTATAGATTGATAGTTGGGATCCAAGTAGGAGGAGCTATTCAAGCTGTCATTATCCTGAATCAGTCCTATAGCAATAGAAAAATTTTGAACTGAAATTTGCCTACATACCTAACAGAAACTATTTTTCCTACTTTTCTATTCTTCACTTGCTATGCAACAAAATCCATAATTTTTTATTTTCTTTGCTTTGCATTTCAATTTACAATCATAATTGGGACCAGAAATCTTGTCGTTAAGCAAGGCATAATTATTGGAAGCTGACTGGGAAGGTTACAGATGGAGATCATGTGACTGCGGGATGCTGCAACCATTGTAAATGCACAACAATTTACAATGTGCCTGATCACAATCACATATCAGTGGGAACACTCCAACAAGGGAAAGCATGAGCGATGGTCGTTAAGTCACATATTTCAGCACCATTGTAAGTTTGCTAAATGAATGGTCATAAGTTGAAGACTAACTGTCATCAGTTTTCTTTTTTCTTTTTACAACTGATGAGACTTTTCTGACTTCCCACTCACAATGCAATTGTACAAAGATGCTCTTCCTGAAAACACATTGCCATTTTGTGATCTTCAGCCTAGATTCTATACCTTGTTCTCCGTGTACTACTTAATAAAAAAAATCTACCTCTTTGGAGCATAAATAGTATCTGGGTACTGGTAATACTGGAGCGGAATAGAAATAACTACAGTACAAACCTGGGGAGAGCGCCCCCTGCTGATGCCAGGGAGGTGTCTGAACTCTGTCAGAGTTGAGGGGCACAGATCCTGTACCTGGCTCCTGTTTTATCATCCCATTGAACATCTGGGCATTGAGAGTGTTTGATGGTGACTCCGAGTGTTTCCTCTTCTTGGCAGGGTGCACTGGAAGACTGTGGAAATCAATCATAAATTACAACAGGCATTCAAAGGAAATGTTTATTCAAATTTAGTCTATGTATGTATGTGTGTATGGTACTGTGTATTATACACACACACACATACATCTTGTATCCCATACATAAAGTTGTCTAGTAGGAAAGACTAAATTAGATTACGAGCCTTCAACTGACAGTCACACTCTGACCTACAACAGAGGAAAAGATTCCAGCCGTAAGTGTACTCCTCTGCTAACTTTCCAACCTTGTTCCCAAAGAACTTACTCTGCTCCATGTTGTTGAAGTAGCTGATGAAGCATCTGCGACTGCTGAGCGTGATGGATGTCACCAGGTGACATGCCTTGTCCTATAGTGAACTGTGGCATCAGAGGCTCAGCCTTCGAGTACATGTCCCGTTGCATGCTGGGATAATGATGGCTGTGCTGCTGCTGGTGTGAATGAGGAGGTGGTGGCGGTGGCAGTCCCTGAAGGTGGGGTGGGGGTGGAGGAGGCAGAGGGGGTGGGGGATGCTCTAACCGTGAAGGGGGAGTAACTTGACACATATTCTCAGGAGTCATAGTTCGAAGAAGGTGAGGATCTAAAAAGAACCAGAAAGATGGATTAATCTAAATGAAAAGTGTCGGTTCCCTGTTTTCAGAAGTCCTAAACTATGATCGATCATCCCATTTTGGCTCTCAGTCAGAACAGCACAAAATAATAAATACAAAATGTCAGTCCAATAATAGAGACATTCCAGGCCTTCTCCTTAGAGTTTCAGCTTTCATTAAAACAGCAAGTAGTTTATCAGCTTTTTCATCAGTAGTTGGGAGCTGCATGGTAATAATGCAGCAATGTTTGTAAAGGGCAATGGTCAGATTTCAGCCCTTTTCTATATTTAAAAAAACTTTAATAGGGGTACTAAGTTTAACAAATGCTCACTGAAGCTATGTTTATTTCTTGCTGCATTTGATACAAAACTGTTAATTTTATGATTCTGATTCTGATTTATCGCTTGTTTCTTGTATGTACACTGAGAGCTTATGTACCAGAGACTAATGCCTTGTGTGTCCAATCACACTTGGCCAATAAAGAATTCTAATTCTAATTCACTCCACTCCACTCCACTCCACTCCATTCCATCCCTTTCCATTCTATTCTAATGTTACCTGATTGCTTGTCATTGACTTTTACAGCGTGACCTTGACTAATCCCATAGCCATAAAAAATGGCTTAGGAGCTGCTTATGGCCCAAGGATTGTGGGTTGCTCATACTCAGATAGATAGATAGATAGATAGATAGATAGATAGATAGATAGATAGATAGATAGAT